GTCTTAAGTCGCTTGGGTATATTTGTAGCAATAGCCAAAAATATATTGTATGGGTCAAAATTATTGATTTTTCTTTTATGCCAAAAATCATTAGGATATTAAGTAAAGATCATGTTCCATGAAGATATTTTGTAAATCTCCTACTGTAAATATATCAAAACTTAATTTTTGATTAGTAATATGCATTGCTAAGAACTTCATTTGGATAACTTTAAAGGCGATTTTCTCATTATTTGGATTTTTTTGCACCCTCAGATTCAGATTTTCAAATAGTTGTATCTCGACCAAATATTGTCCTATCATAACAAACCATCCAACCACCATACATCAATGGAAAGATTATTTATTCAGCTTTCAGATGATGTATAAATCTCAATTTTGAAAAATTGACACTTTTTTTTTGCACCCTCAGATTCAGATTTTCAAATAGTTGTATCTCGACCAAATATTGTCCTATCATAACAAACCATCCAACCACCATACATCAATGGAAAGATTATTTATTCAGCTTTCAGATGATGTATAAATCTAAATTTTGAAAAATTGACACTTAAGACTGGTTTTGTGGTCCAGGGTCACATTTGAATGAATGAAAATTCATATTTTTAATTAAAGAAAACTTAGAGAGTGTGGGCTGCTTCTGGTGCTAGGATTTGTAGCCTACTTCAATAATGAGGTCCAAGAATACTAGGGTTTTTTTTTTTTTTTATGTTTTTTTTTCTCTATATATATATGCCGTCAGCGCGAGACCCGCTCGCTGTGAAGCGGGAGCCGGCAGAGGATTCCGCTTGGTCTTAAAGCGGACCAAACGGCTACTTCACAATTAAAACATTGATTTGCGCAAAAATTATGATTAATTATTAATTGAGAATTTGTTATTGATACGGTCAGGTGAAAATAATAATATGGGCTGCGAGAACATTATAAATAAAAAGAGTGGGGCTGCTATGAGTGCAGGGCAGGCAGTCTAGGGACAGCATCACTGATAGATAGATATAATATCTATTATAGATCAGTGGACAGCATCCATATTTCAACCCCAGTGGCATGACAACACTGCGGCCATCGCGGCCTAAAAACAGACCGGCCCACCGGGAATCCTCCCGGTGCTCCCGATTAGCCAATCCGGGCCTGGATAAGTGTATTTGCTTTTTGATGAACATGACAGTCCTACAAAAGAAACTTCTGATACAGATAACAAGGACAGCTATAGTAATAACTAGATAAAGAAACGTTCAAGACAAAGCCCTTTCAAAGGGCTTTATTAAATTACATCAGAATTACACTTTTTAAATATTGAGAACATTTTAACAATACTGTGATATTAATCCTAACGTGATAATTTTGCTCAAAAATCAAACATTTTTTATTTATATATATATATATATATTTTTTTTTTTCTATTATTATTATTATACCCTCACTGGGGGCTGAGCCCCCCTAAAATGAAAATCCTAGAATCGCCCCTGAGAAGAGACTTCTTTATAAAACATTAAAAATCTTACTGTTCAAAAACTGTTGACTGGTAGGTTATATAGATTACAGAAATGTTAAATTGTAATTTTTTATATATATTTTTTATATATATATATCATTTCTGTCCCCCTCACTTCTGAAATGATGGCTACGCCCCTGCTCAAAATAATCATGATATGAGATGTTCATGGTTTCCAGCATTGATAATAAATCAGCATAATTACAATGATTTTTGAGGGATCGTGACAGTGAAAATTGGAGTAAAGGCTAATGAAAATTCACAGCTGTCAGACTCAGTGAACCCTCCCAACCTCAAGGACCTGGAGATCTATGCAAAAGAGGAGTGGTCCAAATGTGATGTGATGGCTGTTATGTGTGGTTTGTTCATTTACTTGGAGCTTAGGCACTGCATTGTTATAGTCTGAAATTGATATTAACTGTAAACTTTTGTAAATTCTTCTGTAAACTGTAAACTCTTCAAATCTAATGAAATTCTGTTCCAGGATCAAAGAGGATGTTGATTTATGAATGTTGTACTTGATGATCATCCAATCATGTTCACCCATATACTACAGGTGCATCGTGTGCATTGAATTTATTTAATACACAAGTTTCACAATTTGAGTTGAATTACTGAAATAAATGAACTTTTCCACGACATTCTAATTTATTGAGATGCACCTGTATATTCCTTTGCATATATAGGCCTACTGTTTGCCCTGAATGTCCTTTTTACACTATTGGAGTTGTAAACTTGTATCCATTATATATCCAAGTTTGTAGTATGTATACTCACTTTAACTTGAACTTGGGACAGAAATAAATTCCCATAATGTTTCACTTCTGAATTTGGAAAATATTTGTAAATATAATGAAAACCAACTGCTGATTGAAAAAAAATGGGGGGAAATTAGGGATGACTGACGTGAAACTGACATTTCGACATGGTGTCGAGATCCCAAAGTGCAGATGTTTCGAAACACTGCTCCGAATTGTGATTCGAAAACACCCATGTCACGTGACTAATGCTGAGTTCACACTGCACGATTTTCAAAGTCGTCGGGTCATAGGGGGTCCCCCAGTAAAAATCGCTTTCGAAAAAATTCTCCTGCACACAGCGTGATTGTGAATCGCCGACAGCTCCAGATATTTAGCATGCCAAATATTTCACGGGCGTCGGCGACGTGTCGGCGATGCGTCTTTGATAATTCACACTGTGTGATTGTCACTCGCCTTGAAAAACGAACGATTTGCCTCCGATTTCGGGCATTTGTGGGCGATTTCGCAAAACCTGTCGGCGAGTGAAAAATCGGGCTAAAATCGAGCAGTGTGAACTCGGCATAAGGCGATTCAAAGCCAGTTGTGGCTTGATGTCTTTTATTAATGTTAATTTTTTCATGACCAAAATAACATATTCACAAAGAGTTCATTCAGTTGTCAGAGAGATATTACAACACGTTACAAGAACAGAACATTAAAAACACAACTTTCAAATATTTATTATAATTATATACATGCTTCACCCGGTATTTTAACCTAAAGTGAAAGGTCCTGACAACATGCCAGTCGTGCACACTAACCACTCCCCCAACCCACATGCTGAAATGCTATTTCAGGGCAATACTTGAAAATGGTAGAGACGGGTGTCGAATTGTTTTGAAGCCTCGACTGTTTCAGTGTTTCATGAAGCCTCGCTCTGCCCACCACTAAGGAAAATACCAAGTAAAAAAAAAAAAAAAAAGAATAAGAAGTAAATATTTGTTTTTTATATTCCTGTAATGAGTAGTTTTTAGCTTTAAACATATATTTATATATATTTGGCCAAGGCAAGGCAACAAGGAACACAGGCTAAACAAACAAACAATACTGAGCAATGTGTGTGTATGTTGAAACAGGCTTTAAATAGGGTGAGACAGATGAGGTAACAAGACACAGGTGAATGCAATCAGAGATGATGAGTCCAGGAAAGGATTATTGGAAATGTAGTCTGGGGTAGAGTGGCAAGAGTCAGAGATGTAGTGCCCTCTGGTGGAGTTCATAGGCACTCCACCTGGAGATCGTGACAGGCTTCCTTTCATTTCGACATTGATAACTATATTGACATCTACTCTTGAGCTTTTTCTGTTCTTTATTCATTATTGTGTAATTCCTATATCCCCATGTATGCTCGTGCATAACTGATATAGTAAAATACATTAAAAGCTTTTTACTGTTGTGAGATTAGTTTCTTTTCTTTCTTTCTTTTTTTATCACAAACCTAAATAGTATTTTCTTGATATTCTTCAAGGATGTTAAATATATATGCCTAAGTTAAATAGCTATGTGATATTTCTATCTGCTGTTGAAAATTACTTCCTCTAATTTAATAATAGCTTAAAATACCAAATCTTCAACCCCATACTGTTTAAACACTGTCTCAAAAAAGCCCATCATACAAGTAGCTGTATAACAGTATAAATGTGTGTGCTATTTTGAAATTAGCCAAAGCACGTTAAGTATGGCGTTAAGATGAACAAACGTTCTCCACATGCATGTCACACGCACGCTAATATGTCTGTATAAGCTAGGTTAGGAAAGAAATGACACAAAGCGAGCGCCATATTTGTTTACATACTGGATGT